GATATGCTCTCAAGAAACACTGGTAATTCCATTCAAAGTGGTGAAATCTTTAGAACAATAAGCATGGAGTTCTAATGGGGGTAGAGTTTTGGGGGACCATCGTATATGCAGTTAGTCACTGCCTAAAACATATCTATGGGGTACATGATGGCATGACTGTTACTCCTACTGGGGAGCAGATCATAATGCATAAGATTTACCTAGCTTAAGCAAGTCTAAGAGAGTTTTAAAAGGCAGTGGACTTGGACTAAGGTGTTCTTTGTCTCTCTGCCTGCCTATCTGTAGGAATTAGGTGAATGGGTAGAGAGAAAGTGGCAAGAAAAAAAAATGTTTTATGTAGAGAAAAGCAAGGGGAGCAGTAGGATGTATGAGTTAGGCTGGTGTGTGCAGCGACCTCTGAACTGAGAAGTTACTAGACTGATGTGAAGGGGGTCCCACGAGAGGAAGCTGAGACGTGCTTCAAGCTCATCTTGGTCAATTTAGCAAGTTCCTTTCTTAAAATTTAAAAAATAAAGTACAAAGAATGGGTGATATATCTTAGTGCAAAAGTTCTAGATTCAGTCACCAATACCAAAAAATTTATGGAATGTACTTGGATCATAGGCAGTACTGTATAAGTGTGAAAACATGTTAGGATTTCTGCATGGAGGGAGATCCCAGAGTGTTTGTGGATTATACAGTAGTGGACGGATTCAGGAAATGGTGCAGTAGTTAGATAGGAGTTCAGTAGATCTGCCTACCTCTTAAGCCAATGCAGTGAAACCACCACTTAGCAGCTTCTATAATAGACGAATGAGCTTAAAGCCAGGAGAGCCTTCTGTTAGGAAGGAAGGTGTTGGTTCCATGTGCACACACTCTTGCACATTTGGCTTTTCTGTCAGTCCTGCTTTACTTGTTCCTTGTCAGTGATTTCTTCTCAGTGCAGTAGTGTGAGAAGGGCCTCCACATGGTGGCTGGGGGGTGTGCGGTAGGCTGCCTTCTGCTGCTGGCTCCTTTTTTCTTTGTCTGTATGCATTACCCACAACCACACACCTCTCTTGTTTCTCTGCCCTCTTTCTCCTCCTCTATGTTGGAGGAAAGAAAAAAGTTCATCTTTGAGTTTGGGTGTAGGGTATGTAGGTACCTCACAGTCTTGGTAGTAAGAGAAACCTTTGAAGGGGATGTTAAGATGTCAACATACAAAAATCAACAGCATTTCTATATGCCAAAAATGAACCCACTGAGAAAGAAATCAGGAAAACAGTGCTATTCACAAAATTCAAGAACCATTAAATGCTTAGGGATCAACTTAATAAAAGGAGGACCTCTGTTAATAAAAATTATATTCTAAAAAGGGATATTGAAAAGAATATCAGAAAGTAAAAAGGTACCTCCTTTTCCTGAATAGAACAAATGTCAAAGTGGCCATATTTCCAATACTGATAATACAGATTTAATGCAATCCCAGTCAAGACATCAACAGCCTCTCTCATAGAATTAGAAAACACAATCCTAAACTTACATACAACCAGTAGTGACCCACAATAGCAATCCTGGGCAGCAAGAGAAAAGCAGAAGGCATCACAACCTGAGATTTGAGGTTACATTACACTGCTACAGAGATAAAAACGCTGCAGTGCTGGCCAGGAGCATACATGTCGATCAGTGGAACAGAAGAGAGGAATGTCGAAACAACCCTTGGCGCACAGATTTGGCCATCTGATCCTTGATAAAAGCATATGTGGGAGGCAGAATTACCTCTTTAACAAATGATATGGGAAAACCAGCTCTCCATATGCGGAAGATTGACTCTTAAATCCATATTTCTTAATATGTACTAAAATGAAATCAAAATGGATCAGTGACCTAGATATTAAAACTGTGAAACTCCTAGAAAGTAAAGTCTGTAAAACTCATGAAAGCATAGGCAAGAATTTTCTGACCAAAAACCCCAAGTGCACAGGAAAGTGCACATCAAGAATTAACAAATGGCAATGTGCAAATGGCATGGCAAGTTAAAAAGCTTCTGCACAGGAAAGAAAACAAGTAAAGAAAAAACCTATTGAACAAGAAAAAAAATTTTTTGTCAGTTATTCCTTAGATAGACAACTACATGATATAAAGAACTCAGACTAGCCCTCCTGCCAGCATAAAAGACAATCAGGAAACGGGCAGTTGAAATACACACTTTTATGAAGAAGATGTACAAATGACCAGTACATACACAAAAAAGTTTTCAGCATTTCTGGCCATTAGGAAAATGGCAAATCAAAAACACAGATTCTGTCTTACTACAGGAAAAATGACTATCATCCAGAAATCAAATAAATGCTGGCGAGGCTGTAGAGGAAAAGAAACTCTTCTACATTGTTGGTGGGAATGTAAGTTAGTACAGACACTAGAAGTCAGCAGGCAGATTCCTCAGACAACTACAAACAGATTCCATTGCTCAGTATCTTTCTAAAAGGGTTTTAGGATATGTTGCAGGATGCATGCATACAAGTTTATACCTGCACAGCTCACAATAGCTAAATCTTGAAAGCAGCATACATATCCATCAGTAGATGAATGGATAAACAGTGTGTGTTATTTAAACACAATGGAGTACTACTGTGCCATAAAAAGAATGAATTTGAGTCTTTTATAGGAAAATCTATACACATGGAGATCATAATCAGACACACAAGCACAAATGTCACATGGTTTATCTTATATGAGCATCCCAGAGTATAAATAATTTAAAGACCAAAACAAAAGATGTGTAATTAGAAACAGAGATATATATCTTTTGCTGATGTGAAGGAGATCTAGAGATGAGGGGAGGGGTTAGGCTGGTGAGGGAAAGGGACATGAAAGGAATTTACATGTGCTGTGTATGTGTACTGGCTCCCCAGTGAAGTAGAAACTGGCCACAGAAAAGACTAGCAGAAAAGACTAGAAAAAGCCAAGTATTTTAGAAGGCAATAGAAAGGATGACCTGAGGATATCATAAGAACCAGCAGGACTCGGGCCATTTCAGCCTCAAAAGTGAACTACTTTGCTTTGAGGAAAAAAACCCAGAGCACCATGTTCCAAAATGGTGGTGATCTAGAGAATGTGTTCCTTGGGATTTGATACAGAGTACTGAATGATCCAAGTACTTGACCCCTACAGCCAAGAGAGAAGGAGGCCTGGCTGCTGCTCCAGTTTGTAACAGACTTTGGCATCATCCACATATTGCTGGTTTTAGGTGTATGCATGCAGAATGCAAGACTTGGGGGTCAGGAAGGCTCCCACCCAGATTTCAGAAGGTCTGGGAGACCAGGCACTGTGCCCTGAGATGCCAGTGTGTGAAACTGCGTGTGAAGCTGATGTTGAAGTGAAGAAGACCCTAGAAAGTTGGAGAATCCAGGAATGTGGATTGTCTGAGGAAACCTACAAGGAAGGAGCAGAACTGTCCCAAGCGAAAGAAGCCTTGGGAGCTGCAATTACCAGAAATGGCAAAAGAGCAGAGGTATCCAACCCCTTTGGAGCTCACATCTTGCCACGAACTGCCTTGGATGCTGCACAAGACATTACAGGACTTAATGTTCACTCTGCTGGGTTTTGGACCTGCTTTAATCCGATACCTTTGCATCCCCCTGTTTGTATCTTATGGAGTGGTAATGTCGGAAAGTGTCTAATTCTTCATTTGCACTGGGGCTTATAGCTAAAGGTTTTCCTTAAATCTCAGAGGAAACTTTGGATGTGGACTTTTCAGCAGTGCTGAAACTGTTAGGACTCTGGCAACTCTTAGAGATGGACTGAATGCTTTTTGTGTAAAGGAATGTACCTGAATCTTTGGGAGTCCAGGGTCAGAATGTTACGGTTTGTGTCTAGATGTCCCTCTATAGGCTCGTGTGGTCATAGGTGTGACTTTTTCAGAAGTGGCTAAGTGTGTGAGGGTGGGATTAAGGGTATATGATTACTAAATCATTCCACTGATTTGTTTGGCACTGCCTAAGCCTGGTAGTCTAGACAGAATATAAAAGGAGAGAAGGAAGCTGCTAAGGCCCCTTGCTTGCTTTGCTGCCTTCTGCCTGCTATGAACTTTTCCTCTAAGATGCCCTCTGCCATCATCCCATGCTGCTTTGGAGCCTGCCGATTATGGATTGAAACCTCTGCAAACTGTGAGCCAAATAAACCTTTCCTCCCTTAACTTTGGGTGTCAGATACTTTGTCTCAGCAATGAGAAAAGTAAGACACTGGACAGTCCTTCAAATACAGTTTTTATCTTGAATTTGAGGCTAACCTGGGCAACAAAGTGAGTTCAAGGCCAGTGTGAGCTGCCTGGTGAAACCCTGTCTCAAAAAGACCAGGAAAAGAAAAAAAAAAATCTAATGTTTTAAATCTTAAGTTCATATGACTCCTACTCCACAATTCATCCCTATTTTTTTTTAAATATAAACATACATATGCTATGGGCCAGGAATAGAGCTCCGTGGTGCAGCTCCGTGGCTTGCCTGGCAAGCCTAAGGTCTTGAGTTCAATTCCTGGTACCAAAAAATAAGAAGTATTCAACAGTATATATTAGATTTCCTCCCAAACTTTTTTTTTACTAAAAGTGTTAAAAAGATAAAGCCTTTATTTTCCTGTGTTTTCTTATATTTGCCTGCATGCAAAGCATCCCCTAGTTTAAGGTCTTGCAGACTACAAGGATTTATGGACAAAACCTTTTTGTTGAGTGTCTCCTGCATACTCTGCATGATGGGAGGTGGGATTTTGGTTTAGTTAGTTTTCAGCTTTTCTCCAACATATTAATGAAGTTCACAAATCTTTGAAGTGACACCCCTGTTCACAGATATAATTTGTATTGAAAATTATCCATTACATAACATTCCTTGTCATGATGATAGCCAACATTTATTGTATTTTTACTGTTTATCAGTTTGTTTCCATTCCTTTCATTTATTGTGCCATTTATTAATTATGCATTGCTTTAAAAACAAATAGCCAAGTTTATGGAAATATTGCTAACAATATTAATGTTTTTTAACCAACAGATTTCAACACTAAACTTGCACAATGTCTTTGAAACCAAGAGTAGTAGATTTTGATGAAACATGGAACAAACTCTTGACTACAATCAAGGCAGTTGTCATGTTGGAATATGTCGAGAGAACAACATGGAATGATCGCTTCTCGTATCCTTTTAGTGGCAACTTGATACATGTTCTGAAATGCACAAGGGTGTTGAAAAGTGAAAATTTGTGTAAAACAATTTATTGAAATGAGAGAGCTTCCAATGTCAGCATTTTGAAATATATTATTTACAGTTCCACATTCATCCTTTTGTGACAACCGATAATTCTATATATAATCTTTTATTTATTCCTTACTGAGCACTTAATACATTTCCCAATCAAGTACTAGCCAGGTCTGACCCTGCTTAGCTTCTGAGATCATTTAAGATTGGGCATGTTCAGGGAGGTATGGTAGTAAACTGAGCACTTAATATATCTCTCAGCACTACTTTAGGCATATAGTTGTGATTTAAACCAGCTCTTCTCATTATAATAAGGGAAGCAAGACATTTATCACATTTTGAAAACCTAATGTCAGCATCTCCTAATAATAGGCAGAGGTAGATATTATGGAGTGGCATGGAGTGCTTGTATGCAGGTGGTCCTGTTTTATGGAGCATCCTCTGAGAATGGTACACTTGGGTAAAGACTTCAGCAAAGTGAGGGAGCAGGGCACTTTGATATCTGGGATGTTTGTGTTAGTCTTCCACATTGCAGCAAAGTACTCGAGACATCCAGCTTCTAAGTAGGAATACTTTGCTATGCCACAGTTTTAGTCCCTGGTCGGTTGGCCCAGTTGCCTTTGGGCTTTGGAGGGGGGCAGCACATCTTGGTGGAAGAACTTTGGGGTATAGGACCTGCTAATCTCATGGTGTCTAGGAGACAGACAGGGAAGCAGGAGCTGGGCCCCAGGATCCCTTCCAGGGCACAGCCCCCAGGACCTATCTTTTGCCCATGAGACCATGGCTCCCAAAGGTTCCTCCACATCCTAGTAATGCCATAGGTGGGGGACTAAGGCTTTAACACCTGGGTGGGGGATGTGTCCAGTCATAGCAGTGCTCTATGTGGACGTGGAATATCAGGTTCAGTGATGGAGATGGAAGTGTATTTTGATTTTCAGTTTTGGGGATGGAATCCAAGGGCTTCCACTGAGCTACATTTCCCACTCTTTTCATTTATTTTTAATTTCGAGAAAGTCATGGTAAGCTGCCAGTGCTGGGCTCCAACTTTTAATCTTCATGCCTCACCCTCTAAAGTGCTGAGATGATAGGCGTGCACCGCCACACCGTTTTCAATTTTAAGGTCTTGACTTTCATTGCCATTGTGAAACCTTCACTGGTTTTACTTACTGCATACCCTCAGTTCACAGATATAATTCTTTTTTGTGTTCCGTTTTTTGAGACAAGGCCTCACTATGCAGTCCAGGCTCTCCTTTGAACCTACTTTGTGGCCTGCAACTTGTAGTGATCCTCCTGCCTCAGCTTCCCACGTGCTGTGATTACAGGTATGTGCCACCATGCTTGGTTTGAATTTAATTCTGTCCATGTTTCTGGTCACACACTGAATTGGATGCAAATCAAATCAGATTTCCTCATAAGGTCAGCATTGAACCTAACCCTTGAATTTGATTTGATTCTCATCTAATTTGATGTGTGACCAGAATCTGGAAAGAATTAAGTTCACTGACACAGAGTCTGTCAGGAAAAAAAAAACAAAACAAAACTTTGTGAACTGAGGCACCACTGTAATTAAGTTAATATTATAAAACACAAAATTTAGGGTAAGTATAAGAAGGGTTTGTTTTTTTTAAATGTTTTGCTTTATAAGTTGTGTTCTTGAAACACTACAGCTTAGTAAACAATGTAAATTAGTATAAGTCATCTCAAAAACCAGCGAAGAGAACTGTGTAAAAATAACTAACTGGGTTCCCATATTTCTGAGGTCACTTTACAGAATAGGAAGGACTTTTTATTTTTATTTTTTTGTCTTTTTCCTTTTTTATCAGTACTGGGGATCAAACTCAGGACTGCATGCTTGCAAGGCAGGTGCTTATGCCGCTGAGCTAAACCTCCAGCCCCAGGAAGGACTTTTTAATAGAGAATGTACTGAAAAAAAAAAAAAAAGGCACAGGTTGCACCTCAGTGGCAGAGTGCTTGTGCTCATGTACACATGAGCCTGGTTTCAATCCTCAGCACCATACACACACTCTAGGCGTACACACAAAGTAAGGAAGGATCTAGAAGAAAGATGGAAAGGCTGACTGCAGTCCACCAGACATGACCTGTGTGGAGAGGGCTACTTGGTCTTTCTAGCTGGGTAGGGTGAGCACATAGGGCTCACTGAGTACCTTCCTTTCCTCCTTTGTATGCACTTGGTAAGTACACGAGCTGCCCAGGAGTTGGGAATCTAGAGATGATTAAGAATGGATTAATGATCTGGGCCTGGTGGCACACGCCTATAATTCTGGCACTTGGGCGGCTGAGCAGGAGAATCATCTTTTTTTTTTTTTTTGTCTTTTTCCTTTTTATCGGCACCAGGGATTGAACTCATGACTGCCTGCTTGCAACGCAGGCGCTTATGCCGCTGAGCTAAATCCCCAGCCCCTGAGCAGGAGAATCGTCTTGATTTAAAGGCCAGCCTGGGCTATATGAGCAAGTTCAAAGGCCAGCCTACCTACACAGTGAGACCTTATTTCCAAAAAACAAAAGAAAAGTGGAGGTATAAGTAATATAATTGGGAAGAAAGTGTTCTGTAGAAAATACAGTATCAGATATAAAGTGCTAGAGCTTGCTTTCTTACTCTTTTTATTTATTTATGTATTTTTGTGATATTGACGATGGAGCTCAGGACCTTTCCACTGAGCTACATCCCAACCCCCTTTTCAAGACAGGGTCCACGTTGACCATACTGGCCTCGAACTTAGGATCCTTCTGCCCCAGCCTTCTAGGGCGCCTAATTACAGGCATACAGCACCACTCCTGGCCCTTATTGGTATTTGTGTGAAAAATTTGTGTTTCGTAACATTTCTTCATTTTTTGTTACAAATGTGTGACTCCATCCTGTAAACTTGCTTTCATGTTGCATCTGTACTCATCAGTCTGGTCTCGGATGGCTCATGGCTGCTGTGTCTTACACGGTTGGGTAGTAAGCCACGCTTCTGAAGCACTTCGACATCCATGAACTTACTTGGCTCTCAGAGGGCCTCGAGACCACAAGGGAGGAGTCTTTATTTTTACCTTACAAAGGCAGATGATGGTGGCAGTTTTTTTGATGAGACGCATACTGTGCCATGGAATGATCGCGGCCCGTAAGGACCACAGGCGCGAGGCTTGACCTACACAGTGTGTTGCTTTGATGTCACCCTTCCTTGGGATAGATAAGCTGTAACTTACAGAATGCCCATTCATATTTGCTGTGGCAGAATCTTAAATACTGTATTTCCAAAATTTAGACTGATAAGTCTGTGGTACAGAGATAACATATCAGCTTTGCCTTGAGTCTCCATTTGTCTTTTTCAGTATAATTTGTGTAAATACCGACCTGATTTAGTAAAGCAGTTTTAAACATTAATTAATTAATTTGGAGACTTGAACTCACTGCGTAACCCAGGCTGGCCTTGAACTCACAGCAATACCCTGCTCAGTCTGCTGGTGTGTGCCCCCATGCATGGCCTCAAAGAGTATTTTAAGAAAGGAAAAATGGAAATGCAACTCAGACAGGCTACTAAGCAAGGTGGTTAAGATTACTGGTTAGTACAAAGGAAGTGTCACATGCATTTCCTTTGACTCCTGGGTGAAAGCTCTTTGTGCTAGAGTAAATAATCTACCTCTGGTGTTTAGCAGGGTACTTAAGGGTGTTCAGAAAGCTTAAGTGACTTGTTGGCCTTATTATTACTATCATGCAGTATTTCTTTTATTTTTTTATTCATACAGTACTTCTGATAAGTTTTTTCTTTTGATACCAGGAATTGAACTCACACCCTTGAGCTTGCCAGGCAGGCACTGTGCTAGATCCCCAGCCCTGTATTTTTTTTTCCCCTGTATTTCTAATAATGGAATAAATGCTGAAAGCCATGGCGAAGTTGCACAACATTTTGAGTACTATGGGGCAGCAGAGTATGTCCAATGAGTAATTTTTATGATAGATTTCTCAGAAGTGTACAGACATAATTGCCTTTTGTGATATCCCATAGTTCTTTGTTGGTAATGTCATAACATCCTACATGAACTTGATTTTGTAGGTGTCTGAGTACTTGATTTTCCAGTTCAAGCTAGAAACCCTTTGGGTTTTATTTTATTTATTATTATTATTATTTTGGTACTGGGGATTGAACTCAAGACTTCGTGTTTGCCAAGCAGGCACTTAAACCGCTGAGCTAAATATCTGGCCCAACCCTTTGGATTTTAATTTCTGTGAGGATCCATTCTTGTAGTGATTTCAAATAATTCTCTCTTTTTTTTTTTGTTTTTTGTCTTTTTCATTTTTATCGGTACCAGGCATCGAACTCATGACCGCCTGCTTGCAAGGCAGGTGCTTATGCCGCTGAGCTAAATTTCCAGCCCCTCAAATAATTCTCAATAAAAACTTTTATTTTTGTGCTACTGGGGATTGAACCCAGGACCTTCTCATGAGCTGCATCCTATTACATCCTTACCTCTACTCGTTGCATTAAATTTTATTTTATTTTATTATTATTTTTTCTTTTTTTCTATGTTTTCTTTAGTGAACGTCTCATTAAATTTTAAGTCAGGGTCTTAGTATCTTGTTACATTGCCGAGGCTGGGCTTGAATTTGTGATCCTTCTCCGCCTCAGTTTCCCAGACTGCTGGGGATACAAGTGTGCACCGCTGTAGTCAGCTAAAAACCTTCTTTAATGAATAAATAAGTGAATCCTAAAGTGGTTTTTAAAACATGACTATACATTTTGCCTTTAACTTATATATTAAACAGTACTATAGTATTATGCAGACTGTAACGTTTTTATAAACCTAACTCACAAAAATAAATTTTCATTTTTTTATTGCCAAATTTGTATCTCTTATCTTAAAACTGTGACTAACAAATATGAAAACCTTAATAATTTAACTAGAGATATCTATGCTTTATGTGTGGCCTATCCTGAACCACTTGGAGAAAGACTTTACACAGAAACTAAGAGTTTTTTGGAAAATCACGTTCGGCATTTGCATAAGGTAAGCAACAATATACATATGATATAGATACGTTTATAGCTGCATAGTGATTTGACCTGTTCATTTTCTTCCACTGTAGAACTTGTATCAAATTCAGGGTTTCCTAGGTTCTTAAACGCCATTTTTCAAATTATTTTAAGATCTTTTTTTGAGACAGGTCTCACTGTGTACTTCAGGCTGGCCTGGACTCCCTGTGTAGCCCAGGCGGGCCTCAGACTCACAGCTGGTCCCCTTGCTGGGTATTTTTAAGATCCTTTTTTTGGTACCATAAGTCAAATACACAACCTTGAGCTTGCCCGGCTGGCACACTGTGGTGCGGAGCTATATCCCTGGGCCCTATTTTTAGGGTCTTTAAGTCAAGCATTATATTAATAGGTTCTCCAAAGGAAATGTGATTAATTATTCAAGATTATGTAACTAGTATGTGAAAGAGCAGAATCAACTAAAGGTTCAGCTAAAGTATGCTTTGCTGTTCTCCAGATGATGTTTAGACAGTTAAAATTTACCTTTTAATTTAGAAAATTAGAAGGTACCGTTTCAACCCTTTAGCTGGCTCTCCATGGTATGTAATGTCTTCCAGACATGCCGGTGTGAAAGCGCGCAGAGCACCGTGTGCGTACGAGCGCATCTGCCGGGTGCACGCTTTGTGCGAGGCAGTGTCCTGCGCTAGGTCTGCGTGCATTTTGCTCCAGGATCCTGCAGCATTTTGCTGTCGGTAGCGTTTCTGACAGCGTCTTCTCAGGACCTCGAGGAGATGGTCATGGCCTGGGCCGCCACCTCTGTTCTGCTTTTTACTCAGTGTTGCTGCAGCATGGGCGCTCGCTTAGCAACCACCTGTGTCCTGAGCTCTGAGTTGGTACACGGGCACAGTCTTCATTAGTGTCTAATCCTGTGCGTGGGTGGCCAGGATGATACTTTTTGGAATGGTGCAGACCCTTAAGTAGGCACATTTGGTCATGACCTTAAAGCATTTGAAGGAATGTTTAAAAATTAAGTTTATTGGTATATTTTACATATACATAATGACAGCATTCATCATAGGGAATTTGTACCTCTACATGATATAACTTGATTCCTTTTTTTTGGACCATTCTCCTACCCTCCCTTTAATGCCTCTTCCCCTCCTTATTTACAAAAGCTTTGTTTGTGTTTTTCCTTCTTGTTATTTTTTCTTTTTTCCTTTCCCTCTCCCCCTTGCGTAGTAGTTTCTTTCCCATTTGAACATTTTCTTCGTATTTCACAATGTCCAGTATATATTTTGATCATTTACACTTTCAATTTCTCTCACCAGAGAGACCAGGCAGTATTTTATTTAATTATTATTATTATTGCTATTATTCTGGTTCTGAGGATTGAGCTCAGAGTCTTGTGCATGCTAGGCAAGCACTCCATCCCCAGCCCTGACTAGGCATTATTTATATATGTGTTTGATTTCACTTGAAGAGTATTGTCTCAATAGTGTTACTGCTATATTTCTTTTGTATTTATTATTGCATGTACCTGTTAGTGTTTTGGTGTTTTATTAGTTAATGAAAATGTTTTGGCAGAAAGTACTCTTAATGTGGTCTTACTGTACAGCTGTTTTAAAGTTTGCTGTTATGTGAGGCGTAGTAGTACATGCCTGGAGTCTCATCACCTAGGAGGCAGAGGCAGGAGGATTACTGTGAGGTCAAGGCCAGCTTGGGCTACATGGAGGGAGACCTGTCTCAAAAAAATTAAAATAAAATAATAAAAAAAAAGTTTGCTATTGTAAGCTAGTGAACTTTGATTTTATAATAAGTAGCTGTGAAGACATAAGTTTTTCATTGTTTGGAGATGCTATTTGTTTATATACTCATTTTGCTGGATAGATCCCAGTTTAAATAACTTGATATTATAAATATCATTCTGATTAAATTGTCACTGTGATCATGGACATTTTTTTGTTTTGTTTTGTTTTGTTTTTTTGGTTCTTGGGATCAGACCTAAGCTCTTGTGCATGCCAAGTGTCCCCTCTATCACTGAGCTGTATCTCCAGCCCCACAGATTTCATAGGATTAAATCCTAGGCATGGAATTTCTTGGTCACAACTTTTTTTAAAATTGTTTTTGACATATATTAATTCATACAGAATTTTCTAGGTTTGTTAGGTCCAGCCACCATAAAGCAGGTGATTAAGGGTGCTTTATTTATTCTCCAGTGTTAAGATCAGGTGCTATTTTTAATTTACCAGTTTGATAGAAAAGTATTATTTTAGGTTATTTTTATCATCCTAAGTTTTAATTGTTAAAATGCTGAGCTATAACTGGGTGCAGTAGTGCATGCCTGTAATCCCAGCATTTAGGAGACTGAAGCAAGAGGAGGATTGTTGCAAGTTTGAGGCTAGTCTGGGCTACAAAGTAAGCCCAAAACCAGCTTCAATGCATAGTGAGACCCTGTCTCAAAAAGACCAAAAAAAAAAAAAAAAAAAAAAAAAAAAAAAAAAAAAAACAAAAAAACAAAAACAAAAACAAAACTGGATTTATTAAGCATGGCACTTAGGGGCTGGGGATTTAGCTCAGCGGCATAAGCACCTGCCTTGCAAGCGCGTGGTCGTCGCGTGGTCGTGAGTTCAATCCCTGGTACTGATTTAAAAAAAAAAAGCGTGGCACTTCATCAGAGAATTAGATAAAAATTGAGGTCATAGCTCACCTCAGGTCATGGGACAGTTGATGGGAAAACAGATTACAGAACTTGGTATCTGTTGAGTTCCAGACCAGTGTGTTTTCTTATGGTCAGACTAGATTTCCATTACACTATGTCTTGGGGCACTGGGGAGGAGACGAGGGCCTTTGCATTGGGATACAGACTCAGCCCTTTTTTATTATTTTGAGTTAGATCGGTAAGTTGTCCAGGCTGAGCATGGACTTGTGATCCTCCTGCCTTAGTCTTCAATAGTGCTGGGATAATAGACATGGTTTACAAATAAATTTTTTTTCAACAAATAAATTCTTCAAAAAAGTAGACCTGAGATTTCAGTTTGATTTTTTTTGTTTTGTTTTGTTTTCGTTTTGGGAATCAAATTCAGGATCTTGAGCTTGCCAGAGAGATGTTTGTGCCTCTGAACCATAGCCCTGGCCATCAGTTGATTTTTACTTTTCTAAAAGTAATAGCCGTCTGTTAAATGTACAAAATCTCATTTTGGGGATAAGGCATCAATTTCTATTCATAGCAATAAGGAGTTGATAGACTGATATCACTTGGGGGCTGGTCAAAAGTAATGGATTTAAGGAAACATAATCCTGGTAGAATTAATATCTTCTGTTATAAACTGATCTTCATATTCTGTTCCAAAGACAAAATCAGATCAATATGTGGTTTTGTCCTTTTATATTGCCATGAGATAATTTATTCTATATGATGGCGGGCCTCCCTTCCAAATCCTAGGCTCATGTTTGCTGGTTTCAACTTTTTTTTTTTTGAGACACCGGGCAGTTCAGGTTGACCTCAAACTCAAGGAATACCTCTGCCTCAGCCTCCTGCATGCTAGGTTATAGGCATGCACTCCATGCCCTAGATTCCCAGTTATTTCATTTGTACTGGAGGTAGCTAAAGTATAATTTGAGAATGTAATTTATAATGCTTTAAGTACTTATTTTTGAAGGTGAGTTTTGATACATTCTGTATTTTATAATGAAAATGATTAGCACTTTCTAAATAAAAATGTTTTCTTTGTTTATATAGAAAGTTCTAGAGTCTGAAGAACAAGTACTTGTTATGTATCATAGGTATTGGGAAGAATATAGCAAGGGTGCAGATTATATGGACTGCTTATATAGGTAAGTGTGCCTTTTAAGTTTTGACAATCTATACAGTATTGCCTGCATTCAATAAGTAAAAGAACGATTTTTTATTACTTTGTATTGAAACATGCAGAATTAATCCACTGCTTCTTAAGTAGATGTCCCCCTCCACTGGGGAAGGTCCAGTCTGGGTCTGGTGGGTATTTGGGAGCCGTATTATTTGTAGAAAATTACTCTGAAAACTAATACTGTATTTAGTAGCCTGGCTCTGAATATTTCTTTACATTGCTTCGAGCCATAGGTGCTGTTAAATTTCCATAGAGTTCAGTGTAGAAGTTGGGGTAAATCTTAGCTCACGTCCCTTCCTAGGTTCTTACCTGCTCTAGGTTTCAGCGCTGGTATTTCAGGGAAACATGATTGTGTGAGCCATCTGTCCTCCAGACACACACACACTCACGTAGAGTCTCATACTGCTTCACATCTGTCCTTCTTCTGAATCACTATTTCCAACCCCATCTTCAGCTGTTCCCTCTCCCTTCCTGTGCCCCTCCTGCTTGAGTCTTCGCTGTGCTGATCCTCGCTGATCTGTGTGTGGGTGCATGGGAGTGGTTCTGAAAGATGCGTCCCTGGGGGATCTTTTTGAGAGGATCTCAGGCTGGAGTACACAGGCTAAGATGGCTATGACTTTAATAAACAATATATGGCCAGGGGCTCCTGTCGAAGAGGTGCATCATCCTTGATTAGAACATCCCTCTGGTGGCATGGCTGTCTTTGTGGAAGCTATGAAGGCAGATTGTGTTCATTGTTGAATAGCAGATACATGTAACATCCTGATCTTTAACCCGTGTTGCTCTTGGGGTGATTGTGGCCTGAGACCAGTGCAGTCGTCCTTTTGCTCATGCACTGTGGTGCAGGACATAGAGTGTCCAGTGTCACGTTCACACTGGCAGAGGCTGACTAATTGAGCAGGTCTCTAGGCGTTATCTGTGCGCTCCCAGCGTGCCTTACAGCACTGCTGCATTGTGAGAGCAATGCTTAGTTCTCTAGGCTTCTTTTTTCTCTTTGCCTCATTGATTCTCCTGTCCATTACTGCAGCCTCAGCCTCAGGTGCCTATGTGGTCAGGCTGGCCTCTGATTTAGTCCTCTTGCCTAACCCTTTGCAGTCCTGGGATTACAGCATGTGCCATCACACCACACTTAGAAGCTAGAGTTGTCTCTCAGTGGCCCAGTGTCTTTTAGAAGAACAAAGTGTAATAAAACTAGAGACCAGTTGCTGTCAAGCACAGGTTTGCTGTGGCTTTGGCTTTTATAAAACAGTATTTGTTATGTAGTAAGCATCTTGATGTTTGACTTTCTTAATTACCAAGGTGAGATTATCAGAATTCCCAAGCTAAGGACTATGAGTATAGATCAGTATTAGAGCACCTGAATGAGGCCCTGGATTGGATCCTCAGTACTCTAGAAGACAAAAACAAAAAGCAGTTCCCTACCTGGGCTGTAGAGGAATTTGAAGGGCAAGAATGAGTGTGTTGGAGTGTGCTTGTGTGCTTTCGTTCCTGGGGAGCAAGCGGGCTTTTAGCATAGAGATGCTGGAAGCAGTGTTTGGACTACACAGTGGGATCCCTCCTTCACTATGAATTTCAGTAAAGATGTAGTGTATTCCTGTTCTTTGTTATTTATTAAATAGGACACAATTTGCTCAACTCTCCTGCCTTTCTGTGTACCATATGTATTTTACTTTATTTTTTTGGTATTGAGAATTGAACTGAGGCTCTTCCTCCTGAGCTACATCTTCAGCATGTATGCCCAGCTGGTTTTTTTTTTTTTTTTCTTTTTTGTTCCAGTGATCTAACTCATGACCTCATTCTTGCCAGGCAGGCGCTATACCACCGAACTAAATCCCCAGCCTTTTTTTCTTTTTCTTTTCTTTCTTTTTTTTGTGATGGAGTTTTACTGTATGGTTCAGGCTGGCCTTGAACTCACAGCTATCCTCCTGCTTGAACTTCCTAAGTGCTGGGGTTACAGGTGTGTACCACTACACCTGGCATCTCTGGCCCTTTTTATTTTGAGGAATAGTCTTGCTGAGTAGTTTTGAAGATGCTTAGGCTGGCCTTGAATTTGTGGTACATCTTCTTGCTTCATCCTTGAAGAGTGTTGAGACAACCTATCTGGTTAGTGTTGTACTAGTTAGTACTGTCACACAGGTGTTTTAACTTTTAGTAACTGGTGGAGGAAATAGATGTATTCATGGGTATGTACACACAAACTTGCAAGGTAATAGGTATCTCTTGAAGGCTTAGGTTGTTGACTTCACTTCTGTTCAAACAGGCAATGGTTGAAAGGCAGAATTGCAGTCCACAATTTGTCTGATTCCAAAGCTCATTATCATAATCATTTCATTTTACCTTTATTGGGTATATAGTCTGAATTGGTCAATTAGATTCTGCTCTGATCCTTTTTCTTATTCTACACTTTTTTTTCCCTGGGACATCTTTATACTCCTGGTTTTAGTGACAACCTGTGTGTCAATAACTGAAAATATATATGTTTATCCCAGGTGGCATAAGGTTCGGAGGCATTGTTCTGTGTTGTATTGTTTTGCTGTGAGGTGAGTTACCATGGTACTCTTGCAGATGTTTCATTCTGAGCTCGGATTTGTACACACACTTGCCCCCAGTATGAACCGGTTTATCTGAATAGTGGCATACAAGGAGCCCGGAGATTCAGCTGTGCGGTGCTTGGTTTTGTGCTGTCCGCCTGACCCCTGTTGTCACATCATCAACAGAGCTCTTACCTGCCTCTTGTCCTTTGCACTCCTGTGCTATCTCTACCCTGTCGTTTCCTGTGTGGACTGTTGATGATTATGTTCCAGTAACTCATCTTGCAGCTATTGATTTCTCATTTGTCCTATCAGGAGAACTACTTGTTCTGAAGTGCCAATTTGATCACTCTTGGAAGACATTAGGAACTTGGCTGTGTGCGTAGCACAGCCTCTGTGCTGACACCCATGGGATTCTTTTAACAGTGTTTTGTTTGGACTCTGTGATTATGGTCTCAGGTGTCTGATCATTATTTATTTAATCATATTGGTAGCATAAGTGATGAAATCACTTTCAAGGAAGACATAGTTGGTAGTAATTAAATGAAAACTGCACAGCAGTATTGCTTGCTTGGTAGATTATCCAGGTTATCTCTTGCTTCTAGTCTCAGTTTATAAGGAAAGCATAATATAAAGTAAAAAAAAGTCAGTTTTGTTTCTATTTTTTTTTTGTCTTTTTCATCGGTACTGGGGATCGAACTCAAGACTGCCTGCTTGCAAGGCAGGTGCTTATGCCACTGAGCTAAATCTCCAGCCCCCTGTTTCTATTTTTAAAAAAGTATTTTTATGAAATAATTTTTGGTCTCGTATTTAGTTTTAGTTTGTGAGATGGATATTCAACAGCATTATTTACTTAATGGATTTAGATTTTAAATACACACAGTGACCCTGGCCACCTTTCCCCAGTCCTCTGCATGTCTGTATTAGTGGCCATGTCCAGTACTTAAGTGGAGAACTTGGGAACAGATAGCTCTTACCTGCCTGTAGGCAGGAGCCTAAGAACAAGTCTTACAATAGGATTTTTTAGGTAGACCACAAGGCTGAATCTCTTAGAGGTTTCAAAGTTATCTGGACTGGGGCTGTACCTCAGTGTAGAGTACACTTACTTAGCATGTGTGAGGACCCAGCTTTGGTGCCCAGCATAGGAAAGAAAAGAAAAGGAAAGAAACCTGCATAGTTAAGCTTGGTGCAATGATACACACCTTGTAGATCCAGCCACTGGGAGAAGGCAGGAAGATCACTTGAGCCCAGGAGTTTATGACAGCTTGAGTGAATTAATGTGACCTTGTTGAGAGAGAAAGAGAGATTGGTTAAACTGTAGTTTTTAACAATTACTATTGTATTGTACTATATTGACTTGTATTGCTGTTATATTACAGCAAAGCAAGACTTTATTAACTACTCAGTAGAACATGTGCTGCAATCAGGTATTTCCTCTGTGGTAGAGTGTAGGCTATTTACTTACTTATTTATTTAATGTTTTTGGTGCCAGGGATCGAACTCACGACCTCGAATTTGCCAAGCAGGCACTTATGCTGCTGTGCTAAACCCCCGGTCCTGAGTGTAGACTATTTTAGAACTGTTGGAAGCTATTTCATTTTACAGTTTCCTAGAACATTTGTCTTTATTTACAAACAAATGTGTGGTTACTAAATTTTTTTACGACATACTGCAGTGACATAAAATGCAGTAAAATCGATATCCTTACACTGTTTTAAATTCTGACTTCATTTTGAAAGCCTGCTAACTGATATCATCAAGAATTATAATCAGAAATGCAAAAGCTACAGTTGCTGTGAGTTAGACTGAATTTTGTTCCATGAGTGAAAGAATAGTGACTTGCCCTATCTGATGTGAGACGTGCAGAGCTACATCAAAGCAGCTGTCGTAGTGCACAGATACAGCTTTGCAATAGATTAGTGAGTTAGCTAATCTGTAGATCTAGCAGCTGTTTCTTAGGTGATTTACCACATTGTTAAGAGGTTTACACTAACAGTATTATGAAGGTGTAAGGAATTACTGTACAATTCAGAACAGGAAGTTGACATCTGAAAGCAGCATTTTGAGATGAATTAAGAGAGGCCAGAAATTAAAAATAGAGATTGGTTATAAGACGGTTGTACATAAGCTAGAGGGTTATAAGATGGTTGTACACCAGCTAGAGGGTGAATGAATGCTTTGGAGGTAAAAGAAGTAATGTGACAAGAGGACATGAAGGCCTGGTTAGAAGCAGGATGGAGAAAGGAGTTAAGTGAGGCAAATGTTTTAGATAGGTTCACCAGAATAGCCACAGTGCCACTGAACAGAAAGATAGGGTTTGGACCAAAGTTTCAGTACAGGAAGCACACACAAATGAGAAGGGGGTGATTAAGGTCCTGATGCTCAGACACACGGGGCATTGTTGAGATTCTGTCTCTGTTCTTATTTCTGCAGCATGTGTAAATCACGTGAACAGGGACGGCAGTGCTGACTTCCGTCTTCTGCCCTCGGTGCATAGCAGAGTACCTGGGATGTAGTCCCAGGGCGGTAGCGGTTATAGGAGGGTGTCTGCTCATCACCTCCAAGCAGAATGACCTTTGAGATCTTGATCCTCCCTCCTAACAGTTCCTTTGAGTATTAAATGAGAGTCATAGTAGTACCACACATGGACCTCATCATGTTCAGCCAGGTAGAATACATAGGACTGTGGCTGACACATGACAGAATCCAAAGAGTTGTTCCTGGCTACTTTTCTTTCCTGACATTCATGGCTTTTACAATGTGGCTCTGGGCTGCTTTGGCAAGTTTGTGTTCTGAGCAAACACCATAAAGGCAGCTGTGTATTAGCTAGCTGGTTTGTGGAAGCAGAAAGTTAAGATTAGTGAAGATGGGTCAGGGAAGGCCTGCAGGCTGGGTTTGGCCTGAGACCTGGGCTGGGGCAGCCTTTAGCATCTTTGGAATGGGAGGTTACCATTGGTGAGCCATCCTCTCACCCTTTGTCTTTCTCCCTCAATAGTATTGCTTTTCCCAGAGCTGAAACACATCAAGAAGTTGTGAGAGTGTCAGGGAGTGCCGAGGGGAAGGGAACAGTGGCATTTGGGAGAGAGGACTGATAGAATTCTGTGACTGCGCAGTCCATTCTGTCCACTGGCATATTGAGATGGCAGGCCTTGGAGTCTAGAGTCTGGATCATTGTGGATGTAGCAGCAGAAGTGGTTGGTAGAAGGGGTTGTGGATATGCTGCTTACATTGAAGTCCAGGAGTGGGATGTTTAGTTGTTTCTCCGGGTTTGATGGTCATTGCCTAGATACTTGTACTGACATCGCTACACAGTGGCAGACCTTTTCAGATGAAGAGTTTGCAGGTGTGAGCATTAAAGGCCATAGTGAAGTGTAGGGTGGTGAAAGGATGTATGAGAACATGGCATCCTTTCTACACATTATATTTTAGGACTGTGTCTTCATCTCCGTTTTGTTTGTTTTGTTTTCTTTCCAGTACTAAGACTTGAACCCAGGGTCTTAGCACCAAGCTTCAACCCTAGAGCTCCAGTGTATCTTTTTCCTTTTGAGCAAGGTGTCACTATGTAGTTCAGGCTGGCTTTGAACTCATTATGTATCCCAGGCTGGCCTCAAAGTCATAGTGCTCCTCCTGCCTCAGCCTCCCAAGAGCTAGGATTATTAGGCAGACAGACACTACCATTTTGCCTGGCAGTTTAGGTCTGACCCTTGAATAAGCATACAAGGAATATAAAGGTATCAGTGATTTTTAGTGTAAAATCTCCCATCTTTGTGTGACTGATAATAGTACTTTTTTCTACTTTAAAGGTTTTACTCATTTTTCTCTGAGGTCCTTGCAGAGAGATGTTAAGCTAATAATTTAATGTTTAAATTGTATCTCTAATTTTTATATAACTAGTTTCATTTGGAATTGCCAATTCAATTATTTAAATATATAAGGAACAAACATTGCATATTTGTATTAATTTTTAGAATATATAAAAATGACAATTTTATCAAATTCAGTAAATTTTCTGTGTTTGGTATATCTTAAAACATTCGATACACAACACAATGTTACAGTCTGGACAGTAGTACTTGTAGTATCTAGCCTTTTTCTGAGTTCTTTTCACATTATTGTCTTTCTTTGAACACACATTTTATACTACCATGTTGGCCTTTCCTTTTTTTCCTGTGGACGGTATTAATTTCAGTGAACTGTCTTCCCACTAAATGGAATGGGGAAGATGTTGATGATGGACAGCCTGATTTGTGTGTCATCAGTTATTCAGTCCATTAGACCTAATTTAAATTGTAAATGACTTTTTAAAAAAGGCAGTCTCACTAGGTAGTGCAGGCTGGCTTAAATTCACTTATGTAGCCCAGGTTGGTCTAAAACTTGTGGCAGTCCTCCTGCCTCAGCCTCCCTGGAACTGAGATTACAGATGTGTGCCTCCACACCTGGTGCAAATGACTTTTTGAACTCTCTTGTTTTGGAAAAATAACAAGTTCCATATTGTTTGGTCAGAAAATGTACGCATATTTCATACTCATATGCTTTTCTTTGGTTTTTGATTGCAGGATGCTTTTTTGCTGTTGGTCACCCCTGTCAACACCATCTATAGAGTTATTACAATCATGACACACTGCTGGAATGCTTTAGTTTCCTTTCTCCAAGTTCAAGCTCTTGTTTCTGTGTTATGAATAGTTGACGATAAGGAGGTCTTTTTTGTCTTTCCATTTCGTAGCACAGGCTTTTCTGATCTGCTAACATTTCTCCCATTTGCAGTTCTTTCTCTTGTCCCCCCTTGCCATTTTCTTCCTAAGCGGTCTCAGTGTCCCAGGCCTGTCTGTTTTGTATTGTAAAGGAAAATCACTGAGTTCTGGAGAAGTAAAAAAAGTATATCTAATGTACTTACATTAAGAGTTTTTATGGATTCTAGCACAAAATTATGGTTTATTTTTTTGAAAATAAAATTTAAAAAAAGAAAAGAAAAGAAATACAGATTAGTCAAAGAAAATAACCAAACTTATTAGATTTCACTAGAAACAGATGTCAAAGACAAATACAATATTCTAAGTGAAGCATGCAAAAAATAGTCAATATAACACTAATAAACAGATGTACAAGTGTATCTCTTGTCAACAAGAATGGATGGGTTGGTAGGACACTGTGCAACTAATGGTCAGCACAGTCCACATGTAAACAAACGCACTGCCTGAGGGACCCTCAGAGTGAGCCGCTAAGTGGTTCATTACTGAGCTGTTGTGTAGTTAATAACCTAAAATTATTGTTCTAAAGTGGCAAGTTACTTATTTTCTTACTGATTTTGACTTTACTGTTATTTTATTTTTCAGGTATCTTAACACCCAGTATATTAAAAAGAATAAATTGACTGAAGCTGACCTTCAGTATGGCTATGGTGGGGTAGATATGAATGAGCCACTCATGGAGATAGGAGAGGTAATGATAAACTCTTTAAGTGACTGCAGGCAAAATTATGTTTTTCATGTGTTGAGATAGTTTGTTTCAACTTTTTTAAGGACACAAAATTGATCATCTTAATAAATTGTTGGAAAAGTGAGCACCTTAAAAGTTTCCTGAGTCTTTAGATATCAGCAGAACAGAAAGGATGTGAGAGTCACTAGTTTAGTAATTAAATTTATGGTGGATGAATGAATGGGTCAGTGATTCTATAGTTTGGGGAAAAAATTCATAAAAATTATTTAGAAAACACTGAGACTCCTATGGTAAAAAAGTAGAAAAGACAAAGAGGTGAAAAGAGGAAATTTATGGGTCTAATAAATTTATGATAACTTAATAATTTTTTTAAAAGTGAATATACAATTTAACATTCAAACTTCTTTAAGACATGTGCAATATGGCAATTTTACTGGGGGTTTAACCCTACCTAGAATATGATTGCTTGCTGGGGGTTAGCAACAGGGTCCAGTTAGCACTTAGCACTAATTAAATACTTTATTGAATGAATACAGTACCAAAACAAAATGCATTTAGATGCTTTCTTAAAAAAAATCAGTTTTAAAGGCCTTTCTATCCAGGCTAAAGACAAACACAATAAAGGCAGATATGCTAGTTTAACATAATTGGCTGATTTTATACCGTACTTACATCTTTTAGTCCACAAATATATTATTAAATGATAGAGAACATCTAATACAACCATTTCTACAGGTATAATTTAGTAATTAAAGAGCAGTAAGATAGTAAATTACTCAGTTGAAATGATTCATCCTAGTTCTTGAGATAGTATGCAGATTTAGTTGTGGAAAACTGTGTATGGTGATGTTGAAATGTTCCTGTACAAGTTTAGTTAGTACATATTGAATGACAGGCACTGGGCATTCAGTGACAGACAGGCAGGAAGTGCCTGGCCTAGTGAAGGTTGTAGGGAAGGAGAACGGATGTCACTTCATTACAGAAATTCATGCTAAATTGTGATGCACTTTAATGATGGAGATAAACACCCAAGATGCAGCATTAGGAGGAATTATGTATTTCTTTTGCAAAGAAATTGATCAGTGTCCTTCCGTAGACCTTAAAATGTTGAATACCTTTTATCTAAGAAATCACATGTCTCGTAACCTGTACTTGGAGAATAATAAGGGAGAAAAGGCTTACATGTTTAAAAGTATCTGTTGCGGGGCTGGGGATTTAGCTCAGCGGCATAAGCACCTGCCTTGCAAGCAGGCAGTCATGAGTTCGATCCCCGGTACTGATAAAAAAGGAAAAAGACAAAAACAAACAAACAAATAAAAAAAGTATCTGTTGCATTCATTGTTAAAATATTTCAACTAACAGGTGAATGATTGAAGTTCACACATCCAACAGTAAAAATCATGCATTGAGCAAGATTGGTAGATAGTATGATTTTGTTAGATAGGTAGGCAAATGAAAAAATAGAAAGTGGTTCACAAAAATTGTAACGAAGGAGAAGATGGTTTAGAAAAAATTTTGATACATTATGTTTAATACAATAAACTGTAGAAATAAAAGGACATAGAAAGATCACTGGAGAAAAAAATCAATTGGTAGTAGCTTTTTATTAATGGAATTATAAGTGAATATTTTGCTTAAAACTTTCCCTCTATACCAGCACCATCAAGTTCCCTTCTCTTCTAAGAGATCATCTCTGGAAATAATTCAGTTTGTAGCATTCCTGAACTTAACGTGTGCTTTTGCATGTAAATATTATATGTACACACAGCATTATCTTTTTTTTTTTTTTTTTTTTTTTTTTTTTTTTTTTTTTTTTTTTTTTTTTTTTGTCTTTAACACAGGATTTTGCTGTGCAGTTCAGGCTGGCCTTGAACTCACTTTATAACTCACACTGGTCTCAAACTCGCAGTGATTCTCTTGCGTCAGTCTCCTGAGTGCTGGGATTACAGATGTGCACCACTGTGCACCACATATTATACTTCTGATGTTAATTTATATTTTTTATTGTTTATTTATTTTTTAGACCAGTTTCACTATATAATTCAGGCCGGCCTTGAACTCATTATGTAACCCATGCTGGCCTTGACCATGGTGATCCTCTTGCCTGAGCCACCCCAGTGCTGCAGTTCTAGGTGTGCACCAACACGACATGCTCATATGTCCTAAACAGTGGTATTAGACCATTCAGAAGGACCTACAGCCTGTGTTTCTTGCCTTTTTGCTTTCTTTCAGTATGCCTATATACTACTTTTGCAAGAGCTTTAAGCTACTCCTTAATATTAAGACAGCACATGGTAAACATCTTTGTTCATTTGGTTACTCATTAAATATTTTTCAACTAGTATCAGGCACTGTTCTATGAGGCGAGAATACAGCAGTAAGTAAAATAGAGAAAAATCTTACGCTAATGGAGTGACTGCTGTATGACACCATAAAGAAAGTCTTTTGTCTTCTGGTATGGGAACAGATGCCTGTGAAGAATGGTCCTGGGTGGAGTGTGTGTGTCAAAGTGCATCCTGAGTTCTGATAGCTCTGCTGCTGTGCCTTTCACAAAGACTTTACCTGTTTCTCTCCAGGGGTACAAAATCCCAATCCACTCTACAGTTACTTATCCCCTGACCATGGTATTTACAAGGAAAACAAAGCAAAATAAGTGTGGCCTTTGTGGGAACACGCTTGCTGCTACTTAACTGTAAAAGTGCTTAGCAGTGGATCAGAAAAATGTTACCTAAGGAAGTAGAGTAGAGAGGCTAGAAACAACTGATGTGATTAGGTTGGGAACAGAGAAGAGTCAAGCCAAAAATAGGGTTTGGTGCTACAATAACTGATATTCTGCATGGGAAAACTACTGAAGCTTAAAGTGTCACTCTGGAAAGCAAAGGAGAGACACGTATATATGTGTATTTCTGACTTCTGGACAGGGAAGAGTTTCTTAAAAGACACATGCAAACTGGAGGAGGAGATGAATAAATCAGAGCACATTCAAATACGTATTATGAAACATACAAGGAATAAACTGAAAAGTTGGGTATATCAGACCATAGTTTGTGACAGTCAAGGAATGAATTTCCACAGCCAGTGAAGAACTCCTCTGTTTCATTAAGAATGAGTCAAACTTTAACAGAATAATGAACAAAATAATGGATGGATATTTTACAGGAGAATATAGGATGGATAATAAACGTAAAAAGACGCCTAGCTTCATGTAAGAAAAGTCAGTTAAAATCTCAAGGAGACATCATTTCACATTCAATAGACCAACAGAGTTTGAGTGAGACGTGGGAGTACCTGTTGTCAAAGATGAGGGCCATGAAATTCTCATCCGTCACTGTCAGGGTGGAGCTGCAGAATCATTTAGCTCAGTGTGGTAAAGCTGCTTGTGTTCGTGGCTTGAACCTGGCCCCTCAACCTGGAGCTGTGTAACAGGAGTCTCTTGTGATTGTGGGCCGGGAAACACAAGAATAGCAGCAGTATTCTATAGCAGGAAACTAGAATCCTAAGCACACATCAACAGCAAGGAAATCATGGTGAACTCGTAATAGGATCCCACAGAGCAGTGTTAGTGATTGAGCTGTGACCGTGTGTTTCATTTTGGTGGGGTTCAGTAACAGTTTAGTTTTGAATCAGATGTAGGAAGATATACATGACTTTGTTATCAGATCACAAATGGTGAATGTAAGCTATTGCCTGAGCATGCACACGCATTTGTTAGAAGTATTATACACAGGGAATAATTTAACCTAAAATTCAGGATGGAGATGACCTGTGAGGGAGGAGTGGAACGTACAGGGCAGGGGAATGGGGAAGTGGAATTCTTACACTAGGTTGTAAGCATAGGGATGTGTTGCTCTGTAATTTAACCTTCGTAGTGTTTATGTTTGTGTCAGATATGTTGTAATTTTGAAAATCAGCCAACAGCCAAATCAAAGTATTTTATTTAGCTAAAATCCTTAGTTTCTATTAGTGTCTTGGCTTCTATAGCCTATCCATTATGCAGCACACTTAACAGTAGATAAACATTTTTATAAAAGTCAGATATTTCTGTAATTAATTTTATTAATTAATGTTAATGCCTCCCTTTGCAAAAACCTGGGATGTCATTGCCATTTTATTTTATTTTTTTAAGCAAAGTTTTCTAAAGTCATTGCCATTTTATTTATTTATTTATTTTTTTTTTTTTTGCCTTTTTCCTTTAATTGGTACCGGGGATCGAACTCATGACTGCCTGCTTGTAAGGCAGGCGCTTATGCCACTGAGCTAAATCCCCAGCCCCTGTCATTGCCATTTTAAATCAGAAGTTGATTTTTCTTCAGTTTTCATTTGAATCTTGAAGTGTCGCTAGGTGTGGTGCACACCTGTAATCCCAGCACTTGGGAGACTGAGGCTGGAGGAGTGCCACAAATTCAGGGCCTGCCTGGGCTAGTGAGTTTAAGACCAGTCTGAACTACATGGTGAGACCCTGTCTCAGAAAACTTAAACAACAGCAACAACAACAAACAAACTTGAAGTGTTATAGATTTTTTTAAATTAATTTTTTGATGAATATTTTGTACTTTAAAAATTACAAGCACGTGTTGAAAACTTGCATAACTCAGTCTTGATGGTGCCTTTTTCCTGGCAGTTAGCATTGGATATGTGGAGAAAGTTGATGGTTGAGCCGCTGCAGTCCATCCTTATCCGAATGCTGCTCCGAGAAGTCAAAAAGTAAGTTCTGCTGTGTGCTGGTCTGCTCTGTCCCGGGTGTGCTGGGTGGCTTTGTTAACCGGTGACTGTTGACCTGGCTCTTGATTTAGTGTAAAGAGCCTCATTTTTAATAATGCTAGAATTTTGAAGTGGTCTTATACTCTTTTCTTTTTAAACATTCTGGCATGTCTTTGATCTTTACATACATCTTCATCTGCCTAGCAGATGAGTCTTATTTACTTGTTGTATTGAAGCACATTTACCTGAGGAAGGCACAGCATCGTGTTGCTTTTTCATTCTGAAGTCTCTGAGACCTACCAGGAAGCACTGTGAATGGTTCGAGTGCCCTCTGTTTAAGGAGGAAGACTGCCTGTCAGACAGCAGTTTCTTCTGGGTAGCTGGCTGCCTCTTTGCTTCAATGTCATTCTCCATAACTTAGGTGTTCTTGGGAGGTAAGGGTCAGGGTATGGGACACAGGTGACCTTGCTGTACCCTTGGCTCAGAGCAGCTGACTCAGCCGGATTACTGTGTGACTACAGTTTCCAATGCAGAAAGTTTTCCGGTGTAGTCCAGAGTAGGACATCCTGGGTCAGCACTGGCCTAAACAATTCTTAAACTTGAGTGTTAGGGAGTTGAAGGGACTAAGTCACACAAGTGTAAGCGTGGTGAAGTTTTCAGTGCTAGATGATCTTATAGGAATTATCCAACCAGTGAATAGCCATTCCCTCTGGAACTGCATTCTTCCTCAAGACACAAGTACAGACTCTTTAAGAGAAGAGTGATCTGTCAGAGCCTTGTGCTTACTGTGTGATTAATAGTGCTGGGCAAAGCACATACATGCACATGTGCACACATACTAGAAAAGGGGTACAGCAATGGAAAGAGGACGATAGCAGTCACTAATTTGATAATAAAGTTTTCCTGGCTGCTTCAGTGATTCCATTGTTTCTAAAAACAGAAAGGCAGTAATAAAGTGATTGAAACCACACTGAATCTGCTCGTTTGGAGAGCATGTGCCTCTTCATGGGATTAGGTCTTCTTACCCATAAGCATGTCACAGCCATGTGTCGGTCATCTTTCTTTGATCTCCTAACAGTATTTCTGTTGGTTTTTCTTTGAAGAGATTTCATATCCTCTGATAATATTACAGAGAATGTGCTCTGTATATTTTCCTGTTCTGTTTTCTGCTAGTGCAGAGAAATGCAGCTGGCTCTTGTATACAAATCTTTTTCAGCACCGTTATCTGATTCTGCTTCTAATATTTGTATTTCTGGGTTTTCTATTTAAGCTATCCCAGTCTGTAAGTAGTGATGATTCTTGTTCCTCCTTAGTGTGTGTTCCTCTTACTGTGTTGGCTTGGACCCCCAGACTCTTTTTTTTCTTTTTTTCCGGTACTGGGGATTGAACTCACGACCCTCTTTCTGTAATTCTGTATTACAGCTGTTCAAGTTACAAAATTAAAGTATGTAAAATGACATTGAAATAGTGACACTGCAAACAGTTCTGCTCAATGATCTAACAAAACCTTAATAATACGGTTATCAGTCCTACACACTTGTTTTATATCTTAAAAAGGGTAAGATTAAACATATCAAAACAGAACAAAACAGTTAAAAAAAAAAGAATTTAAAGAAATACAGATTTCAAAGCAAGTCCACTGGAGATCTTCACTGTCTATCTAATTGTCTATAGTTTCTTCCAAATAGTTGTCCCCATCTTCACACACATTAAATACATACTGCATATTATAGAACTAATCAAATCATTACAGGATGATGAAGGCTTTTTAGGTCTTCAAGATCTGACATTGGGGAAGTCAATAATAACTAGCATCGCATCTCTTATTCTCTTCGTAGTAGCTGTCCTTATCTTTTTTTTTTTTTTTTTTTGTCTTTTTCTTTTTTATCGGTACTGGGGATCGAACTCACGACTGCCTGCTTGCAAGGCAGGTGCTTATGCTACTGCGCTAAATCCCCAGCCCCAACTGTCCTTATCTTTGCATATGCTGACATTGAACATAAGAGACTAGACTAATATCACTCTGATCAGTGAATAATAGTATTGCTAGATTTTATATTATAATGCTACAAAATTAGCATTGGGTTTCTTAGTGTCTCTTTTTCTTCAGAGTATCTGTTCATTACATCTTGCATTATATAATCTGTTCCCATAAATAGTTTTTTAAAAAAATCTTCTCATGCGTGAATTTCTACATGTATATCTATCCTCTCTGTATTATAGGGAAAAACAAATCATAGAAATTTTTCTATTTCTTGATCTGGGTGGCAGCTACAAGGGTATGCATCTTATAATCATTCATTAACGTGAGTGCCACACGGCTCTGTGTGTCTATGTTTCAGTTTACAATAAGAAGTTTAATACTTACACACACAGCGCAAAACCCCCTCAAAAGTCCAAAGGAAAACTGAAATGAAAAAAATATCTGAAAGAATACAGAAGAGCACAAGATAGATGAAAACAGTTACTAGATGACAATGAATGTAGTCATAAAGACAGTAAACCCGATATTTAGTCAACAACGTAAGTTCAAAACATGTAAAACTACAACTCACAAAAGAAAAATCACTGCACACAACAGGCAGAAACTTTTTAAAATACATCTCACAGAAACTGAGTTACAAAATAAAGATTTCTAACTGAAATTTAACTTATCTAACATTATCTTTTTCCTCAACATAATCTTTAACATAATAATCACAATAGAAAAATACTATCAGGTACCCTATCTTATATTATTCCAGATTCAAAGAGGAAGAAAGAATTTTGAAAACCGGTTTTCAGTATCTGTAGACATGTAAGCAATTCCTTTCACCTGCAAGTAAAAATATCTCTACTTTCTTCAGTTTATAATTTATTTACTTTTCTGTTTATAATTTAATGTATTCCAAAGCTTTTGTAAATGAAGGGAACAGGAGTAGAATAAAGGGTAAAGAAAGGGGAGGAAATCAAGATAAAACATATACAGATACAAATCCTGTACAATGATTATGAACATTTGTATATCTTAAAATGTATCAATAAACTTAATCAATTTTTAAAAAATCAATGTATTCCAGTGTTCCATCAGAGTATGGCAGAGTGAGTGCTGCTACTAATGTTTCCAATTATTGGTTTGGTTATGCATGCATTTTTATATATACTAATGGGGGGCTCCTTTTTTCTTTCTTTCTTTCTTTCTTTCTTTCTTTCATTCTTTCTCTGAACAGAATAAAACCAATCCAAACAGGATAGTAGAAGTGATACAGGATTTCAAAACCTGATAATAGGAAGTCAACAATGACTACCATAGTATATCTTACCTTCAAAATAGCTACCCATACCATCAGACATAAAATCAAACAAAACTAGACAGAAGAACACCAAACCTAACAAAACAATGAAAACGATACAGGAATTCAAAATAAGATAATAGGAAACTAACAGTTGTTATCACGTCCTCTTTTTAGATCTTTTCTCCCCTATCACTTTCCCAGTATCTAATAGTACATTTTGAATCCCACTAACTCCTTCTTCAGCTTTTTATACTAGAGAGACAGCGTGGTGTTCACCTTTACGAGTCTGAACCATTTCACCCATGAGCATGATCTCAAGTTACATTCATTTACTTGCAAGATCCTCAGTATTGTACTTCTTTATAATTGAGTAGCTCTCCATTGCATAAAAATACAATATCTTATCCATTCTGTGTTTATGGGCGAGCTACCCCTGCTTTTTTTCAACCAAATTATTTCCTACAGAATCGAGGGAGTATTATGTGGCAGAGACTTAGACGTGGAGGAAGGTCAGGCAGTTTCTGATGTGAGGATACACCTATGTGTGCCCTTCTTCTGCAGTTGGATGTAGGGCCTTGCAGCTGTTTGGCAAGTTGAGCGACATTGCAACCCCTATGCTTTTCTTTTCACAGTGGATAGAATTACTGGTTTTAAAAATTATTTTCCAAATGGTAATGTCAAATAAATTATTAATTAGTGTATTATTGAGCTGAATGTTAGATCTGCAGTAATAACTCAAAAGTTTTAGTGTGTGTTTGTTTTTGTTTTGAGACAGGGTCTCTCTGTGTAGTGTAGATTGGTCCTGAGCTTAATAAATAGTCCAGGCTGGCCTTGCACTTAGTGATCCTCCTGCCGTAGCCTCCTGAACGCTAGCATTACAGCGCATGCCCTTGCACCTGGTTCCAGTAATGACTTTTTTAAAAAGGTTGATAACAATAAGAAATAGTTTTTGAGTAATTCTACCCAATTTTTCCTATGCTAAGTAATAAAATTTGTTAAAGCAGAGCAATTGGAAGTAAAATGAAGTTAGGGTTGGTACTTTTTCAGTGCCAGAGTAACTCATTTTTATGATTTGTCTATGTAATATTTTCCTTTAATGCTAGGATTTGGTCCTCTGGTTAGAAAACCTAACCACTAAATGGAATTGTTTACACTATTTACATTATTAGTGCAAAGATGAAATGAGATGCTTTATGTATTTACTGTAGTATTTAGTAACATTAAGAAAATATTTAATTTTTTCCTAAAGCAAAGCGCTTTGTATAAAGGTCCTTCTTTAAATAGGGTCTTACAAAAAAGCCTTTAAATAGATTTCTTATAAAACTCTTTAAATAGAGTTCTTATAAAAAGCTTGTCAGTTGTACCTAACCTTTTTTTTTTTAATTTTATTTAAGGAGAAAAAGAAAAAAAAAAAAAAAAAAAAAGCAGAGAAAGGGTACAAGTTATACAGATTTATAGAAAAAAATAAACAGTAGGAAATCACTAGTTAATGAATTACATTCTGTCATCTCAGAAACAATTGTTCAAGTTACAAAATTAAAGCCTACAAAGTGGACATTCCATCAGTGAGACTGCAAACAGTTCTGTTCAATGATCCAACAAAACTCAGTAATATTATCTATCTTATACACTTAAATATACATGCAGTTATATCATTTAGAGCACTTTCTTTTCCTCTCTTTTGTACAATGATAATTACACATTTTGGGTTTTCTTGCTCCCACAGTT